CCCCCCCTTTTTTTTTTTGAGAGGTTTTTGCTATAGGGCCAGTGCACTCACCAGAAATCACCCCCCCAGGGGGATGGCCACACAGCAATCCATTCTCCTACATCCTCCTTTTGGGATCTTGGGCACACACACACGCCCAGCATGAGTTTAAGCCACCAGGTCCAGGACTTGAACCATGGTTGACTATAGGGAAGTCCAGCGACATAGCCATTATGCCAACTGCCAGTCCCTGGACCCAATCTTTTATTTCCTGACTGAGATAGTAACAGAGGCCCAAGGAAAGATCAAGTTGGTTTTGAATGTCAAACCACTATTTTTCTACAAGAAGCCCATTTTATCAAAAACAAAGCAAGTAAGCTAACAAGAAAAATCCAGGGTTAATTATAAAAGCAGCAATCCTGCCTCACAGAAGGTGGTAATCAAGCAGGCCGCTGCAGAAGTTAGGACAAGCTGCTGTACAGAAGCCCAAATTCCAAGATTGCTGAATACAATGCTGCACACACTCAGAAAGGAAGTGCATTTTACTGTCTTTACAGATGTAGTTAGGGTGAAGACATCAAGGCACAGTCCTCTTGGATTAGAGTGGGCCCTAAATCTAATGAATAGTGTCCTTACAGGTGACAGAAAAGAATGCAAGGTCATGGAAAGATGGAAGCAGAGATCGGAATTGTGCTGCCACCATCAAGGGAAGCTGGAGCTGCCAGAAACTGGAAGAGATAAGAAAGGATTCTTCTCAGGATTCTTCCCTAGAGCCTTCTGGGGAGGTATGTCCCTGGCAACCCTTCGATTTTGACTTCTGGCCACTAGAACCAGGAGAGAATAAATTTTTATCTTCTTCTTTTTTCTTTTTGCCTGCAGGCATAAATGCACTTGTTGGAGCGAGACAGTGAGAGAGAGAGAAAGTGAGAAAGTACACTCTATGAGAAAGTACCGTTTGATAATTCACTCAGATTGTGGTATTTGATGATCAAATACTGTCAAAACCCAACCGAGAACTAGAAGCTGTACTGTTGTTTGTTCTTCCTTCCTTCCTTCCTTTTTTTTTTTAAAGAGAGGTTTCTGCTATAGGGTGCATGTGCTCACTGGAGAGACAGATGTACCCAGCATGATATTTTTTCTTTCCTTTTTTTTGGGGGGGGAGAGGTTTTTGCTATAGGGCACATGTGCTCGCCAGAAAGAGAGAGACAGAGAGATAGAAAGCGAGAAATCACCTCCCCAGGGGAGATGGCTACGCCGTAATCCCTTCTCCTCCATTCTCCTCTCGGGGTCTTGGGCACGCACGCACACGCGCCCAGCATTAATTTAAGCCACCGAGTCCAGGACTCAAACTGCGGTCGACTACGTGGGAATCCAGCAACATAGCCATTACGCTAACTGCTGGCCCCGTCAGCTAGGTTTTTCTGCAATGAGTTACCCCAGTGTTTTCAGTGTACAGTGTTAAACTAAACTATATTGATCATATGCTAACTGCTGGTCCCAACCCAGTGTGATTTTCAAGTCACCAGGTCCAGGACTCAAACTGCGGTCAGCCATGTGGGAGGCTGCAATGTAACCGCTATACCATCTGCTGGCCCAGTACTATTGTTCTTAATACTTACATACTAACGGGGTTACAACACAAATGATGGTACAACCAATACCTATACCATAACAGTTCACATCTTTTAACATCTCGCCCTTTGCAGTTTCTCCACCCGCTCACCCAGCCCAAGTATACAGGAAAGCACTAGACAACAGTCTCACTAGAAAACTTAATTCTGTCAGATACTGTTATGAAATATGATTAATGTTTTGGGTAATACTACCTATAACTAACATTGAAGATAAGATTTTCCAAACAGTTTTTAAAGAATTAATTTATTTAACTTTATTTATTTATTCATTTAAATTTGACCAGAGAGGGACAGTGAGAGAGAGAGAAAATGAGACAGCAAGCCACCAGGCCTGGAACTCAAGCCATGTTGGTCATGTGAGAGTCCAGTGCCCTTAACCACCATGCCACCTGCCAGCCCGTGATTTTTGTTTTTTAATTTGCTATAGGGTACATGTGCTAACCAGAGACAGAGAAGGACAGAGAGAGGGAGAAGGAATCTGAAAAGTACGCAGGAAGGGGTATGGCCATGCTGCAATCCCTTCTTCTCCATTCTCCTCATGAGATTTTGGGGTACTCAGACACACACACCGGGCATGTCTCCCAAGCTACCGAGTCTGGGAATCAAACCACTGGGTCTAAGACTCAAACAACACAATTGAGCCATTTAGAATCCAGCCACCATATTACCAGCTGGTCCTCCAAACAGTTGTTTTATTAGGCTGAAGTAAACAGCCTAAACAAACAGCTGGGAAGGAAGCATTAGAGACAAAACAAGATTCTGTGCATATGGAAACAAACCGAAAATCCTAACATTACTTATACCACAGTCAACCATTCAGACAAACAGTATATTTAATTAAACAAAATATTTCATAAATACAATACTTTATTTTAAAATTCTACCTCGTTAAAAAATTAGTGAGTATCCTGGCAACCATACCAACAGATATTTTCTTACAAGGGCAAATATAATTCATTCAAATATATACGTGTGTGTGTGTGTGTGTGTGTGTGTGTATACGCAACTACATAACGTACTAGTATGCAGAAGTAAAGAATTAAAATAGATTCTGCTTACTTTGATTGGCTTATTCAGAAAGATTCAAGTCAAACATTTCATTTTCTAGACTTATGACATTTTGCTCTCTATGGAAAGTGAGTCCGCACAAATGGCCATAAGATGTACAAGATCCCCAACGCCTTTGGTTGTTTTTGAAAAACTTAGACCAACAATTGTACAATACCTAGTTGCTTCTACAGTCATTAAGAGTCTAGTTCCGTTCCTTGAATTACATTCCGAATCTTCTCAGCATCATTTTGTATAATTTTGTTGGCCGGATCAATCTTGAGCGCTGCTTCATAATCCTGTAGACCTGTTTTTACATAGCAAGGATGGTTGATAAAATAAATACTTCATGAATACCTGTCTTACCTAGACAATATTTTCTAAATATAAAAATAACCATTAAGAACATGTTTCGGGACCAGCAGTTAGCGTAATGGCTATGTCTCTGGACTCCCATGTGGTCGACCGAGGTTCGAGTCCCGCTTTCTGCCTCTCTGTCTCTCTCTGTCTGTCTGGCGAGCGCATGTGCCCTATAGCAAAAACCTCTTCAAAAAAAAAAAAACCATGTTTCAGGACAAGGAACAAGTTTTTAGTCAGAATCTCATCTTCACACACATGATAGTAACTGAGACTGCAGAAATATTTCAGTGATTTAGGGAATAATTATGATTTCATTCATGATTCATTAAGAAACAGTTTTAAGTTCAAGCTCAAATAGGCTAGCAGCTTAAATTCACTACAACATGAACAGACTCAATAAAACATAAACAGACGCTGGAGACTGAATGGTAAAACACATGCTCTGTAAGGCTGACCCACAGGGGAAGGTTCTAGGCTCACATAGGGCACGTGAAGGCCCATGATCCAGACTGAGCACACTAGGCATATGTATGCCCCTGAGCTGGGACTGGCTGAAGGGAGCAGTGGAGAGCAGCATCAAGACTACTGGGGATGGGACCGGCAGGTGGCATGGTGGTGAAGGCACTGGACACTTCCACATGGCTGACCATGGTCCAAGTCCTGGACCTGGTGGCTTGCTTTTTCACTTTCCCTCCCTCTCTCTGGCTGATCAAGTTGGAAAATAATAATAATAAATAAAGTTAAATAAAAAAAATAATTCTTTAAAAAAGACTATTGGGGGTGACTGTTTCTCTGTCTCTCTTTCATGGAAATATGCAAACTGTGAATACAAAGAGAAAAGCATTATGGACTCTGGTTTTTTTTGTTTGTTTAGAGTTTTTTCCCCTTAAGGCGTGTGTGCTCACTGGGGAGAGAAAGACAGAAACAATGAGATGGAACACAAGAAATCGCTCCCTAGGGGGACTGGCCATAGCACAATCCCTTCTCTTCTATTCTCCTCCCGGGATCTTGGGCACACATGCACATATGCCTGGTGTGATTTTCAAGCCAGTGGGTCCAGGATTGAAACTGCAATTGGCCACATGACAATCTAGTGACACAACCACTACACCATCTGCTGGTCCTGTGGACTCCTGGTTAAAAACATGTTAAGTTGCCCTAGTTATGTGAAGCCAGGTTTGGTTCCTGGCCCAGTCTGGAGAGGCCAGGTGCAGCGGTGTATGTGCATGTGGCTCTGGCTAACTGGGAGGCTGGAGCAGTATTATTGAGCATGGTGAGACCTTCCCCAAAATACCTCTCTCACACTCTCTCCCACACTTGCTTAAGAAAAAAAGGGGTGATGGGCCAGCAGGTAGTGTAGTTGAAAAGCTGGACTCCCACATGGCCGACCACAGTTCAAGTCCCAGGCCTGGTGGCTTGAAAATCAGTAGGCTTATGTGTGCCTATGCCCAAAATCCCAGGAGAAGAACGGAGGAGAAGGGACTTCAGTGTGGCCATCCCTCCTTGGGGCTGATTTCTCACTTTCCCTCTCTCTGTTTCTTTTTGGTGAGTGCACACACTCTATGGCAAAAACCTAAAAGAAAAAAAGAAAAAAAGTAACTGAACCTCAATCTTTCCTAAAAAGCAGTAGAAACTTACAGAGAAAGGAAACCTGTTAAAGCCCTAAGTGCTATGATTTGCCATACCACGTCAGGCAAATCACATAAACCTCCACTTTTTTTTTTTAATTGCCAGAGAAGTTGTGTGTTTGCTATAGTGAGTGAGTGAGTGAGTGAATGAGAGAGAGAGAGAGAGAGAGAGAGAGAGAAGATACCGCCTGGTGGGGTGAGGTCACATCACAATCCCCTCTGCCCTCCATACTGTCGGGATTTAGGGCATACCCACCACATGTCCTGATGTGTGTTTAAGCTGGGGCTGAATGATAGACTGTATAGTCTCATGAATACAAGCAATGTTCATACTAGTGCAAAATCAGTCATTTCTATGTGTGTATGTATGTATGGTACAATCAAAGCAACTCATCTGAAAATTTACATTACATCTCAAATGACTCATTTACGTCCTCTATCACACATCTTTCTGTAGAAAAGTCATCTGATAATACAGCATTTTCCTTGACCAAAACCAGTTGTTCGTATCTTGCTCTAACTCTCTTCTACAATTAATCTTTTATTTTTAATAACTATTTATTTAATTTTATTTATTCATTAATCTATTTTAATTTAACCAGAGAGTGACACGGAGAGAAAGAGAGGAAAAGTAAGAAAGCAAGCCACCAGGTCTGGGACTCAAACCATGGTCAACCATGTGGGAGTATCCAGGGCTTTACCATACCACCTGTTGGTCCCTACAATTAATCTTTTACATATAATTCCAAAATCATTTTTTATTTTGTCAGCTATTTAGCAAAGAATTAATGCTAAAATTATAAAATAATGGGAGTCTTACAGAGTATAACTTCCAACTTAAAACATATCTGTCAATTTCTTACCTTCTACATATAATTCCAGTTGACAGAAAGCTGTTCCACGCCGTACATGTGCCTTCATTCTTGCATTAGCATTGTCTGCCACAGGTGGTGTTAATAATTCCAGTGCCTTACAAAATATACATATATAATTAATAAGAAAAAACATTACTTCCTCATTTTTATTTATTTAAAAAATTACTTATTTAATTTTATTTATTATTATTATATTTAAATTTGATGTAGGGCTTGTGTGCTCACCAGAGAGAGACTGAGAGTAAGAGAGAGAAAGAGAGAAAGTACCCACCAGGTCTGGGACTCAAACTACTGTCAGCCATGTGGGAATATAGCACCTTAACCACCACACCACTTGCTGGTCCAATTTTCTCATTTAAAGGTGAGTAAAAAACAGGAAAAATTCGGGACCAGCAGTCGGTGTAATGGCTATGTCACTGGACTCGCATGTAGTCAACCGTGGTTTGAGTCCCAGACCCGATGGCTTAAACTCATGCCAGGTGCATGTGTGTGTGATCCTGAGAGGAGAATGGAGGAGAAAGGATTCCGGCATGGCCATCCTCCCTGCGGGGTGATTTCTCGCTTTCTGTCTCTCTATCTCTGTCTGTCTTTCTGGCGAGCGCACGCGCCCTATAGCAAAAACCTCTAAAAACACACACACACAGAGTAAAAATTCTAACTTTAAGACAAGTCTTGACGTCAGTCAATGGTGTGGCAGTTACGTCACTGGACTCCCACATTGCTGACACACAGTTAGAATCCTGGACTTGGTGACTTGAAACTCATGCTGGGCACATGTGCATGCATGCCCACAATCCCAGGAGGAGAACTGAAAAGGGATCATGGAGTGGCTGATTTCTCATTTTCCCTCTCATTGTCTCTGTCTGTTTCTCTCTCTCCCTGGCAAAAATCTCTCAAAAGAAAAAAAAAAAAAAAAAACAAGTCTTAAGCTCTCACCCACCAAAATTTTTGGCATAGCTGGTATGAGAATTCATCAAATGCATGTATTTAGGTTGAACAACTTAAAGAATTGCTTAGCTATTCCTACTATGGCATTCATCTCTTCTACTCCATCTAAAGTTATGGTTTAGCTAGTCATTTCAAATCTCTATAGCTTTCTCTTTACTAACAGGAAAAATTAAATAGCATTTGTAGGGGACCAGCAGTTAGCGTAATGGCTATGTCGCTGGACTCCCATGTAGTCGACCGCAGTTCACGTCCCAGACCCAGTGGCTTAAACTCATGCCGGGCGCATGTGCATGCGTGCCCAAGATCCCAAGAGGAGAATGGAGGAGAAGGGATTGTGGCATGACCATCCCCCCTGGGGGGTGATTTCTCACTTTCTGTCTCTCTGTCTGGTGAGCGCATGCACCCTATAGCAAAAACCTCTCAAAAATAAATAAATAAATAAATAAATAAATAGCATTTGCAGTCTTTCCTATCCAGATTGGATAATTTAGGCAGTCAGTTAATCTGTTTGTTTATTTTTTTATTTTAGGTTTTTGCCATAGGGTGCATGTGCTCACCGGAGAGAGACAGAAAGAGGAAAGAGGGAAAGTGAGAAATCACGCTCCCCACCCATGGGGGGAAGGCCATGCCACAACTCCTTTTCCTCCATTCCCCTCTCAGGACTTTCCAGGTATGCACGCACATATACCCACTGTGATTTCTCTCTCTCTCTTTTAAGGTTTGTGCCTGGGGCCAAATAGGTGGCTTGGTGGTTAAGAACGCTGAACGCCCACATGGTCGACTGCAGTTTGAGTCTGGGACTTGGCAGCTTTGCTTGCTTTCACACTTTCCTTCTCTCTCTCTTTCTCACTCTGTCACTCTCTGGCAAGGAAGGAAGAAAGGAAGAAAGGAAGAAAGGAAGGAGGAAAGAAAGAAACATGGAAAGGAGGAGAGGAGAGGAGAGGAGAGGAGAGGAGAGGAGAAAGAAAAGAGAAAAGGAAGGAAGGAAGGAAGGAAGGAAGGAAGGAAGGAAGGAAGGAAGGAAGGAAGAGAGGGAGGAAGGAAGGGAGGGAGGGAGGAAGGAAAGAAAGAAAGAAGGAAGGAAAGAAAGAAGGAAAGATAGAAAGAAGGAAGGAAGGAAAGAGAAAGAAGGAAAGAAAGCTAGTTCAATAAAGTAATTTTGAGAAAAATGTTTTTTCCATAGGGTATGTTGCTCCCCAAAGAGAGACAGTAAGGCGGAAAGTAAGAAATCACCTCTCTAGGGGATGGCAATGCCTCAATCCCTTCGCCTCCATTCTCCTCCTGAGATTTTGAGCATGCACATACACACGATGGTCTGAGTTTCAAGTTGCCAGGTTCAGGACTCGAACTGCAGTAAGTCATGTAGGAGTCCAATGCCTTGACCACCACATCACTTTCTGGCCCCTAGTTTGTTTATTTATTCAATGAATATTTATTTGTGCATAAAACATGCTAGTGAAAGGAACTCTAGATCATAAAACTATTATGAGAGGATCAGCCTCATAACCTAGTGGTTAAAAGAGCTAGCTAGACTTTAGACCAGCAGCTAGAGTAATGGCTACGTCGCTGGACTCCCATGTAGTCGATGGCGGTTCAAGTCCCAGATCTGGTGGTTTAAACTCACGCTGGGTGCATGTGTGTGCATGCCCAAGATCCCGAGAGAAAAATGGAGGAGAAAGGATTGTGGCATGGTCATCCCCCCGGGGGGTTATTTCTCACTTTCTGTCTCTCTGTCTGTCTGGCGAGCGCACATGCCCTATAACAAAAACCTCTCCAAAAAAAATTAAAAAAAAAAAAAAAGAGCTAGACTCTACATGGCTAACTGTAGTACGAATCTCTATTCTGATGGCTTGAAAAATGCCAGGCACATGTGTGTGCCTCAAATCCTTACAGCATGGAGAAATGGAGGAAAATGGGTCGTGACATAATCATGCCCCACTGGAAGGTGCTTTTCCTTCTTCCTTTCTCTGTCTCTCTCTGGTGAAAGCATGTACCCTCTGACAAAAATTTTTTAAAAAGAGAGTTACCCTGGGACTAGCAGTTAGCGTAATGGCTATGTTGCTGGACTCCCATGTAGTCAACCACAGTTTGAATCCTGGACCCGGTGGCTTAAATTCATGCCGGGTGCATGTGCATGCGTGCCCAAGATCCCGGGAGGGGAATGGAGAAGGGACTGTGACATGGCCATCCTCCCTGGGGATGATTCATCACTCTCTGTCTCTCTGTTTCTGTCTGTCTGGCAAGCTCACATGCCCTATAGCAAAAACCTCTCCAAGAAAAAAAAAAAAGAACAGAATATAGAAAGTTTACCCTGGGGACCATCAGGAGGCATGGTGGTTAAGGTTCTACTCCCCACATAGCTGATCCAGGTCTAGTGGCTTAAAAACCCCACTGGGGACATGTGTATGCATACTCCAGGAGAATGGAAAAGGGACTGAGGGACTGAGGTGTTGCTATCCCTCCTGTGGGGGTGATTTATCACTTTTCCTCTCACCGTTTCTCTCTGTTTCTCTCTGGCACTGTCTCTCTCTGGCAAGTGCACACGCCTCATGGCAAAACCTTAAAATATAGAAACCAGCAGATGGCGTAATGGTTACATCTCTGGACTCATATGGCTGACCACTGCTTGAGTCCTGAACCCAGAGGCTTGAAACTCATGCTGGGTGTGTGTACAGGTGTGTGTGCCCAAAATCCTGAGAAGAGGATGGAGGAAAAGGGACTGTCACATGGCCAACCCCCCTGGAGAGTGATTTTTCCCTTTTTGTCTCTCTGTTTCTCTGGCGAGTGCCCATGCCCTATAACAAAAATCTCTCTAAAAAAAGAGAGATTTTTGCTATAGGGTATGTGCATTTGCTTGAGAGACAGAAAGAGTCAGAGACAGAAAATGAGAAATTATCCCCTGGGGGGGATGGCCACGCTGCCATCCCTTCTCATCTATTCTCCTCCAGGGATTTTGGGCACGTACACTCATGTACCTGGCATGAGTTTTTGTTTGTTTGTTTTGAGAAGTTTTTGCTATAGGGCATGTGCATTCACCAGAAAGACAGGGAGAGACAGAGACAGAAAACGAGAAATCACCCCCCAAGGGGGATGGCCATGCCACAGTCCCTTCTCCTCCATTCTCCTCTCAGGATCTTGGACATGCACGCACACACGTGCCCGGCATTAGTTTAAACCACATCCAGGACTCAAACCACAGTTGACTACATGGGAGTCCAGTGACATAGTCATTACACCAACTGCTGGTCCCCCAGTGTGAGTTTAAGCCATCAGGTCTAGGACTCAAACTGCAGCTGACTATGTGGGAGTCCAATGACATAGTCATTATGCCACTGCTGCTCCATCTGATGGAGCTATCCTTTTACTGTGCAAATGGTAGAGATAAGAAAATACTGTTTTCTTCTTTCTATCTTGCATTAAATCTATAAAATTTTTCATTAAGAAAATGGGTGAGGCCAAGGTAAGGTGCCCTAGACACTACAGTTCACAAACTGAGGCCACATAAATAAGTGGTGTAGGTTCCATTCCTGGCCCACCTAAATAGCTGGGCATGGTGGAACATGCCTGTCATTCCGCAACTTAGGAGGATGAGGCAGGAGGATCAAGACATAGCAAGACTACCTAAAAAAAAAAAAAAATAACAAGAAAAAAAAAATGAAGAAACTACACACACACACACTCTTAAAATCTTTGTATCTCAGACCTCAGGTGGCATAATGGCTGCATTGCTGGACTCTCACGTAGTCCATCACAATTAGAGTGTCGGACCTAGTGGTTTAAAACTCACACCAAGCACGTGAGTGTGCGTGCTCAAGACCCCAAGAGGATAATAGAGGAGAAGGGATTGTGGCGTGGCCATCCCCCCAGGAGGTGAGTTCTCACTTCTCCATCCCAGGAGGTGAGTCTCTCTGTTTCCATCCCTCCAGTGAGCGCATGTGCCCTATAGCAAAATCACTCTCTAAAAAAACAAAACACCTCATATCTCAATCATTTAGCTCTAACAGAAAAAAAAAAATAGAGAGAGAGAGAGAGAGAGAGAGAGAGAATCATTTAAACTTAGAAATAGGAAGGTAACAATTTTAAAGTGCCATATATAAATAAATAGATACATATACCTTAGAAGAATCCTCAATGGCCTTGTGTAAGTTTTTTAGTTTTAGGTGGCAAGCAGCACGATTCAGGTACAATAGTGGAATCTTGTTATTCAGTTTTATGGCCAAGTTGTATGCATTAATGGCAGCCAAATAGTTTTCTGTTGCAAACAATTTGCTGAGATAAAACAGAAAAGAAAAACAATATACCACTACAACAGAATCACAGAAATAATATCGAATGACACTTGACAGAGGGGAGTGAGGCCTTTGGCATTTCCTGTAGGGTGGGCTGTAGGCTGCCCTGAGGCTATCTCTTCTCCACATCCACTGGCATGTAATTTGAATAGGCATGAGCTCACTGCTACTTCCAAGGTAGCCAGCAGTGGTTTAAGCCAGTAGGCACATCTCTGTCCTCCTTGCTATGGTGATTTACTCAGAGGTGGGACTATGACCCCAAATGATCTGTTTAGAATTAAGCCTCTGACTCTGGTCTCCAAGTTAGAGCATGAAAAGTTGAGAAAACTTCTTCCTCCGCTGGATATGTATGAAGAAAGTACACAGCACAAATGGCGGATGATCATTTTCACACCCAGGGAGGAGATAGCATTAGAATAAAGCAGATACTATGGAAGCATGAAAGGAATAAAAAGTAGATAAAAAGTGAGTTTTTTTGCGGTACAGGTAAGCTACTGGATCATACTTTACCTGAAATGCAACCGCCTCTTAGTTACATACACCAATACATTCATAAAGCTAATTAAAAAAAATTTTGGTTGGGGCCAGCAGGTGGTGTAGTAAGGTGTTGGACTCGCACGTGGCTGACCATGGTCGAATCCTGGACCTGGCAACTTGAAAGTCACACCGAGCACACGTGTTTGCGTAACCCAAGAGGAGAATGAAGGGGAAAGGACTGCAGCATGGCAGTCCCCCCAGGGACTGATTTCTCACTTTACCTCTCTCTGTCTCTCTACTGAATGCACACATCCTAAAGCAAAAATCTCTTGGAAAAAAATTAAAAGAAATGTACATAATTAAAGGATTTATTTAAAATGTAAAGTTTTTTTTTTTGCTTCTCACGTGTGATTCTCATTTACAAAAGTTTGAAAAATGCATACATTAAAAAAAGAAAAGAAAAAGATAAATGCATACATGGGAAAATGGAAAATACTTAGTCAGAACCAATTGGTCCAGGGTGCAGAGGTGATGTGCTACTGAGAAGAGGCTGGATCTCGCATGCAAACTGCAGTTGAATCCCTGGCCTGGTCAGCCTGAAACATGCCAGGTACATACCAAAGTGTCCAGCATCTAGCAGACTGCAGAATAGGAAGGGGATCGTGGCATGATCAGACCCTGTGGCATGTGCTCATCTCTTTCTTTCACTCATGTGCACACACTCCACCGTGAGTAAAGATAAATAAATAATATAGAATTCCATATACATCAAATCTTCATATTCATTTCTAGGCAATTATGCTTTGTATTTGACTGTTACAGAATATTAAGCATGATGACAAAAGTAGACCCATAAAGGCAGTAATTCAATTATGAGGAAAGGGTAAGGTGGCACCATGTGACATCTAACTGAAACTTAATGCCAGCTTAATAAAATTTGCACAAATAGAAAAGCTAATCCCATAGGAATAGTTTATATTTCTGAAATACATAATATTGGTTAGGATGTTTCTGACCATATGTAGCAAAATTCAACTCACCAATTCAAATTGGCTTAAGCAAGTCAAGAGATAAATTATCATGGCTGGCAGGTGGTATGGTAATTAAAGGCACTGGACTTCTACATTGCTGACCACAGTTCAAGCCCTGGACCTGGTGACTTGTTTTCTCACTTTCTCACTTTCCATCTCTCTCTCTCTCTCTCTGATTGAACTGGAAAATCATAATAGTAAATAATGTTAAATAAAATAATTCTTTAAGAAAGAAAGAATTATCTCACATTGAAAAAGTCCAGAGGGGGGCCAGCCAAGTGGCATGGTGGTTAAGGTAGCTGGAACTCACAGAGCCAACCGCATGGTTCAAGTCCCAACCTGGTGGCTTGAAAAACATACCAGGCACATGTGGCTGCATGCTCAAAATCCTGAGAGAAGAATAAAAGAGAAGGGATTGCAGCGCAGCTATCCCCTTTGGGGGATGCTTTCTCACTCTTTCTCTCTCGAGCAACCACATGCACCCTCTAGCAAACCAACAACAATAACAAAATGCCAGCGAAAAGAGGCTCCATGCCCAGTACCTACAATACAGAATCAGCAGCACAAGGATGTCATCACAGCCCCTGGTTCCCACCCTCTCTCCACACTACTACACTCAGCAGCAGCTGCATCCTTGGGCTGGTTTCCTTGTGTGTGTATCAGTTCAAGGTGCCACATTGATAATTATATCCATTAGAAGGAAAAAGGACAGTATTGTCATATATACTACCTAAGAGTAAAAACCTCAGAAACCTCATTTACATCCTTTTATGTTTCATGGACCAAGTTATCCTTAAAAAAAAAAAAAAAAAAAAATCCCACCATGGGACCAGCAGGTGGTTATTGGTTATGTTGATGGACTCCTATGTAATGACCACAGTTCGAGTCCCAGACCTGGAGGCTTAAAACTCACATAGGGTTCATGCACTTGCATGCCCAAAATCCCAAGAGTGGAATGAAGGAGAAGGAATGGCGGTGTGGCCATTCCCCCTGAGGAGTGATTTCCTGCCTTTTGTCTCTGTGTCTCTCTGGTACGCACACATGCCCTATAACAATAATCTCTTCTAGAAAAGAAAAGATCCCACTAGTTTTTCTCTTCCTCAAGTACTGTCTCTCTCTTTCTCCTCTTTGTTCCTCCATTTTAATTTTTAGTATTATATATTCCTATTTTGAAACTTTGAGACATTTGCTATAGGGAACATGTGCTCGCTGGAGAGAAAGAGACAGCGAGACAGGAAGCAAGAAATCACCTCCTAGGGGGATCGCCTCTCCACAATCTCTTCTCCTCCATTATCCTCTCAGGATTTTGCGTATGTATACACACGCATGCGTCTGGCATGAGTTTCAAGCCTCCGGATCTGAACTCCAACTGCAGTTGACCATGTGGGAGTCCAGCACCTCAAACAACATGCCATCTGCTGACCCTGGGATTTATTATTATCTATTTTTATTTTTGAGAGGTTTTTGCCATAGGGTGCATGTACTTGCTGGAGAGAGACACAGAGAGACAGAAAGAGAGAAATCACGCCCATAGGGAGATGGCCACACAGCAATCCCTCCATTTTCCTCTCAGGATTTTGGGCACACATGCACAAGAGCCCAGTGTGATTTTTTTTTTTTTTAAGATAGTTAGGCAGTATACATTTTTATTAAAAGGTGAAAACAAATCTGGTAACCATCCAAATGATCGCCAGATGCCACGTGTCATTTTTTTGTTCATGCTTTCACTATTGTTTTCCCCAAATTATCTCCTTTCAGCATTCCCATAAATGCAGCTGGCATGTTTTCAAATCCTTCAATGACATATTCTTGATACTGGATTTTACCCTCCAAGACCCATTTCAGCAAGTTCTTCAGAGCTTTTTGGCGGACCTCTCCTTGCCAGAGGGAGACGATGAACCCTTCCATGCGGAGTTGCTGATAAATGATCATCTCTGGGGGTAGGCCTGGGGGAGGAGCGTGGGTCCTGTTATATGTAGAGACAACCCCACATATAGCAATTCTTCCAAATAGCTTCATCTGGGGGATAACAACATTCGAAAACTCTCCACCTACATTATCAAAATAACAATCATAACTATTACGAGAGGCTTTTTTCAAAGTTTTCTCTAAAGGCTCTACTGTTTTGTAGTTAAAGGCAACATCAAATCCAAGCTTTTCAAGATAGACAACCTTTTCACCAGATCCTGCTTCTCCAACAACTTTGCAGACCTTGAGCTTGGCTATCTGCCCCACAACAGAGCCCACTGCTCCTGCTGCTGCACTGACAAACACCGTTTCTCCACCCTTCACACCACAGATGTCAAGTAGGCCAAAGTAGGCAGTTAGACCTGTCATGCCGACTGTCCCCAGAGCCAAAGACAGTGGTAATGTATCCGGCCACTCTGTAGGTAGCTTTTCCAGGTCTTTCCCATCAGAAATGGAATGTGTTGTCCAACCTGAAGAAGCCAGGACAACAGTCCCTGTTGGCCAGGCTGAGTTTTTACTTTCCACAACTCTGGCCACTTGTCCCATCATCGTATCATCCTCCTTCAATCTTTTGCCTGCCACTCTCATGTAAGGATCCACAGTGAGGAACAGAGCTTCAAGCAGGACCTCTCCATTTTTGAAGGGTGGGAGCTCAGTTGTCTCCAGCTCAAAGTTACTATCAGTAGGACTGCCTTCGAAGTGCTTCTTCAGGCCCAGCTCTTAGCTTTCACCATCCTGAAGCTCAAGAGTGCGCAGGTCGCACAGCCTGGAGAGGGCGGCTGTGAGTGCTCCCAGTGTGATTTTCAAGTCACCAGGTTTGAGACTCAGACTGCAGTTGACCGAGTGGGAGTCCAGAGTCATAACCAGTATGCCATCTGCTGGTCCTTCATGGTGGTTTTTTTTTTTTTTTTTTAGTGGGTTTCTCT